AGAACATTGGCAAGAAAATCTCAGATATTTCACGCAGCAACATTTTTACTGATATGTCCCCAAGAGCAAAGAATATAAAGAAAAGAATAAACAAATAGGATCTCATCAAATATAAAGCTTCTGCGTAGCTAAAGAAAATAGTATTAAAATATACAGGCAACCGATTGTGTGGGAAAACACATTTGCCAATGATACCTCAAAGTTTTCATCTCCAAAACATACAAAGAACTCACATGACTGCACTCTAAGAAGACAAGCAATCCAATTAAAAAGTGAAAAAAGGACTTGAACAAACACTTCTCCAAGCAGCACATAGAGAGAATCCAGAAACACATGAAAAGATGCTCAATATCACTAGCTATTAGAGAGATGCAAATTAAAACCACAAGGAGATACCATTTTACAAAGGTCAGAATAGCTATCATAAACAAAGCTACAAACAACAAATGTTGGAAAGGTTGTGGAGAAAAGGGGACCCCAGTTCACTGTTGGTGGGATTGCAGTCTGGTACAACCATTATGCAAAACAGTATGGAATTTTCTCAGAAAACTAAAAATGGACCTGCCTTTTGACCCAGCAATTCCACTGCAGGGATTATACCCTAAGAACCCTAAAACACCAATCTAAAAAAACCTATGCACCCCAATGTTCATAATTGCACAATTTACAATAGCCAAGAGGTGGAAGCAACCAAGGTGCCCATCAGTAGATGAATGAATCAAAAATTTTGGTACATTGGCCTGCTAACCAGAGTATCGCAGTTCGATTCCCAGTCAGGGCACATGCCTGGGTTGCAGGCCAGTTCCCAGCAGGGGACACATGAGAGGCAACCATACATTGATATTTTTCTCCCTATCTCCTTTCTTTCCCCTCTAAAGATAAATAAATTAAATCTTTAAAAAAATTTTTAAATGACCATTGATAAAAATTAAAAAATATATGGTACATATACACAATGGAATTCTATGAAGCAGAAAGAAAGAAAGAAAGAAAGAGCTCCTACTGTTTGCAACAGCATGAATTGAACTGGAAAGCATTATGCTGAGTGAAATAAGCCAGGTGTTGAAAGACAAATACCATATGATTTCACCATTAACAGGAAGCTAAAAAACAAAAGAAACAAGCAAGCAAAATAAAAACAAAGACACTGAAATAGGGAATAGGGGAACAGTTACCAGAGGGGAGCGGGAGGAAATTTCAGGAGAAAAAAAGGAGGGATTTAGATGAATTAGTATAAAGGACACATGGACAACAGCTAAGGGGGTGGAAATGGGAGGGAGGTGGAGAGCACAGGTAAGGTGGGCTGGGATGGGAGTAAAAGACAGAAAACTGTACTTAAGAAATAATTAAAATAAAAAATTTAAAAAACCTGAAAAATAAGCTCCTCAAGTGCCAGCATTTACTAAATAAATAATAGATTTCTGGGAGGAATTGGTAAGTGATATACATTTGACTGAAAAAATAATCTGTGTTAGTTTACCTTCCAAATTAATAGCACAATCCAATGAGTAAAAACACAAAAATGTACCTCTTCTTTGGTCAAAAGAGAACTAGGTATTTTTTGGAAGTTAATGCCTGATTAAGCACCAAGTCACACAACAAAAGCTTCTTATTTTTAAGACAAAAGTATGTTTTCTCATTTTCTACTCTTAGCACGCATTTCAATGCTTTCCAGTGGATCCAAAGCCTCCAGAACTCCATTCCGTGTCTTCCAAACCTTCCACTTCTTCTACTTCTGAATAATAAATCCATTCACAAGTAAAGTGTGCAATGCAGTCAAGATTTTACCTTCAAACTTTTGTTTGCCAAAATTGAACAGTACAACACCAAGATTTCCTCCATTATCTTCATCTATGGAACCTGCTGCTACATCTATGAGGTCTTTTGCGGCCAAGCCAGAACATAGAGTTACTCTTCCATAGCACCCAGCAGGCAGAGTGTCTCAGTGTTAGTTTTCACAAGGGCTTTCTACATAGGTGGCAGTGTGTAATTTACTGGCACGGTACAGGTCAGGCAAAGCCAGAAGCCGGATCTTTGGTTGCAGGGCTGGGGTACTCCCTGAGGATGAGTGAAAAATGCTATGCACCACCCTCCTCTGCAGGTGGGAAACCATTTGCTGGGGGAGATGGTGAGCATCTCTTTAGAGCACAGCATGGAAGAGGAGATAGCAGGCACAGCTTGCCCCAGTGGAACACGAAGGCATGAATCAGATCTTTTCAAAATTTACATTCAATTCAGAAAAGCTGTTTTTTAAGATTTCATTTATTTTTAGACAGAAGAGAGAAGAGGGTGAGAAACATCAATGTCCGGGTGCCTCTCACGGGCCCCCTGGTGGGAACATGGCTCAGAACTCAGGCATGTGCCCCAGCTGAGAATCAAACCAGGAACGTTTAGTTCCCAAGCTGGCAAGCAAGCCAGTGACCCACACCAGGTGGGGCCAGTATAAAAAAAATTATATCCAACATACAATGAATACAAATTCAGCCATTAATAGATATAAAATGAAGACTATTTTTGTAACTCAAAGGACCAAAACGCCATTTACATTAAAAAAGCACAGGAAGAAACAATGAAAAGAGTGAAGAAAAACATAAAGAAATGTGCACTTAAATTTTATGGCAATTGATGTATATATGGTTGATTCATATTTGAATACAGTCCCACAATGATTAAGTACTGATCTTAAAACTATCATTTATTTTTCTAATATGTAAATAAATACTCAAATGTCAACCAACAATGCTTGGAGAATTTATCATATAAAACCAATCACCCTAGAAAACCAGCAGTGATAATGACTGACTGAGACTGAGAGATGCTGGAGTCCAAGTCTTTCTCTTAAAAGGCCTGAAAGACTTACACAAACTCACAAGCTCTGACCTTCAGCCTTGGGACAGCAGATTGAAAGGAGCTAGGGAAATTCAAGGAGAAACTCATCTGTCTGGCTTCAGGGCTAAGACTGGTGTGGCACCCTTCTTTTCTTGCAGAGCCCTTTTCATAATAGAGCTAGAAAGCACTATATCTGAGTCCCCACCTACCCGGCTAATGCTATTGCCCTGTCCTAGTGATTCCCCGAGACCTTGCCCCACTCCACTTGAGAAATCACCCAAGCCATATCCAATAGATTTTCCATAGAAATGGCCCTCCTGCCCCATGATTCAGACTCTCCTTAATCTCTCAGCCTTGATCTGCTCTCTGCATGCTCTATAATTCTCATTTAGTGGCCCAGACAAAGCAAAAGAACATTTTCTTTCTACATTTTATATTGGTGTACAAATGCAGGTGTTGCCTTCCCCCGCCCCCCCAACTATTCCACACAACACAACCATCCCACCTCCCTCCATTGATCCTGCTGCGTTCAGATTTTCCTATGTGTCCTTTTTTATTTAATTGTTGTTTAAGTACAGTTTCCTTTCTTTTACTTCCATCACAGGCCACCCCACTCCTCCCACATCTTTCCCATTTTCACCACTCCATAATTATTGTCCATGTGTCCTTTATACATGTTCCTGAAAATTCTTGCCCTGTTTCTTCTCATTATTCCCTCCTGACTCCCTTCTGGTTACTGTCAGTTTGTTCTTTATTTCAAAGTTTCTATTTATATTTTTCTTCCTTGTCTGCTTTGATGATTTGTTTCCTATTATAGATGAGATGATATGGTATTTGTTTTTCACCACGTGGCTTATTTCATTACCATAATGCTCTCCAGATTTATCCATGCTGTCCCAAAACTTAGGAGCTCCTTCTACACTAACAAACCCTGAAACACCAACTGAAAAGAACCTATGATCCCCAATGTTAATAACACCACAGTTTACGATAGCCAAATGCTGGAAGCAACCTAAGTACCCATCAGAAAATGAATGGATCAAGAAATCATTGTACACTTGCACTAGCACAAGGACATATTGAAGTGAACCAGAAAAGTAGATTGTTTCACGTTGGGGAGGTGCACTGTGCTACAAGAAAATCACCCAGTCTAAACTATTTAGGGATTTGTTTGCAGCCCCCAGAAGGTTAAAATGTATAAGTCAGTAAACATGACACCTTGACACAGGGTTCTTGAGATATCATGCATCAAATTGCAGGTTCTCAACCACTTCCTTCATGAATTCTATTCTTGCCACAAAAACAAAACAAAACAAAACAAAAGGCTTAATGATTTTCCACCAACATGTGCAGAATTTCCCAGGTCCCAAAGCAATGACAGAACAGTAAGACAATGGTGTCCCTTAGAGTCCAAAAATAACTTAATCGTATACACTGAACACTTTTTTAAGATTGTATTTTTTTTTTTAGAAAGGGAGGGCTCTGGTAGAAACTGCTAATAGAATAACAGAGGTCACTGGAATAGAACCAGATTCCTAAAAGCATGTAGGAGCATGACACACTGTTGGAGACCAGCTGGCCCTCTCTGACAGCAACATAAATAAACCTGGGGTTTCCACAATCCTTTCTCCTGAAGCACAGCTTCTCAAAGCACGCTTGAAAGTCTGGCTTCCTCTGTGACCACTGGGTTTCTCAACTGTTACATCTGCATCTTCATTTTCACCTACCTGGGAAGACGGATATTGGTTTTTTTCTGCAAACATCCCAGAGCTCCTTCATTTGCTCCAAAAATGTGACCAGCACTGGCTTAGAAACAACAAGACCTATGTACAAAATAATAATTATTATTTTCAATAGTGTCTCCATATCCAGTCCACTTTGAGCTCGGGTAAGAAGGCTTCGGGTAATTTAAAATATCCTAGATCATTATTTCCCCAAATCCTGTTTCCTGATAGCACCTTAATCATTCTAAGAACATGTAAATTTATCAGATAATGATCTGCTAAGGACTACAGTTCTGAGTGCCTTCATTATCTACACCAGATAATCTCCAAGTTCGCCCTTTTGAACATCAATCTGAAAGTCTAACATACTAAGTAGAGTCCCCAAAAGATGTGAAATAAAACAAAATCCTGGGGTGGAGCAGGAGCTCTGAAGAAAATCATTCTCACCCAGGGAGACCAAGTTGCTGTAGTTCTCCAACATCACATCCGAGTACAATTCCCGCTGACCTGGGTCCAGGCATTCCCACTCCTCTTGAGAGAAATCTACTGACACGTCATTGAAGGTCAAGGATGGCTGATGATTAAAAAAAAAGAGTGAGGTACATTTTTCAACAATACACAGGAGAAATCTCACTGTCATTAAACATGAAAACTGTTAGAAGTGGTTTGGACCTAGGATATATCTTGCATCATTCAGTAAGTCCACTTTGACCCTCTAACATTCTCTAATATATCTTGTCACACCGAGAAAGGAGGATAATATGTGTCTACAAATCCACTGCAAAGACATTACTTTCCAGGAAAATAAAATTTTAAATGTAGGAACAGACACAGGTACACTGATTGCCGAGTGTTGTATTTCTATCATTCAGAATCGGCTATGTATACTTCTCAGCTACAAAAAAAAGCATGATGAGCTGTAAGTGTAAGAAACTTCTTTAGGTTTCATTCAGGCAACAAGAAATGTACTTTTGTAAAATTGCAGATTATGATTCAGGAGTTGTGGGTAGTGCCTATGTTTCCACATTTTTCAAAAGCTAACTTCTTTATGTATGTTTTATCAATTATACTCATAATTATCCCATTTTTTCTCCCCTTTATCCCCTTTTGCCTTCCAACCTGCCTCCTTCCATAACCCCCCCTCTAGGTTCATGTCCTTGGATAATTCAGAAGAGTTCTATGACTTTCTTATATCCTACATAATTTTAAATTCCCCCTATATATGTTATACCCATCATTTATTCTTATTTCCTGTACCTTTGCACCAATTGTCCCATTAACTCCACTCAGTTCATCATCCTCCATAAGATCTCCATTTCAGTCATTGTGTTCCTGTTCTGGTTTTTTACTTATTTTTTTCTTTTGGTTTTGTATTTACAGGTTCAGTTGTTAAAAGTTGTGAGTTCTTTGTCATTTCACTGTTCATAATTCTGATCATCTTATTTTTCTTAGATTAAGTCCCTTGAACATTTTATGTATGGGCTTGGTGATGATGAACTCCTTTACAGTGACCTTATCTGGGAGGCACTTGACTTGTCCTTCCATTGTAAGTGATAGCTTTCCTGCTTAGATTAACCTTGGATGTAGGTCCCTGCCTTACATGACTTTGAATAATTCTTTCCAGCCCCTTGCTGTCTGCAAAGTTTCTTTTTAAAAATCAGCTGATAATATTATGAGAACCCTTTTGTAGCTAGCTCTCCTTTTGTGATCCTTTCTTTAAGATTCTCTCCTTATCTTTTATCTTGGAATATGGAACTGTGATGTGTCTTGGTGTGTTCCTCCTTGGGTGCAACTTCTTTGACTCTCTGAGGTTCCCTCACTTTGATTTCTATTTCATTCACCACACTGGCAAGTTTTCTTTCATTATTTTTCCAATCAGTTTACCACTTTGTGCTCTTCTTCTCTTTGTGGAACCCCTAATATAAGAATGTTGGAGGTTTTAAAGCTGTTCCAAAGCTTACTCAGCCTCTCCCCATTTTATTTAATTCTTGTTTCTTCATTCTGTTCCACATGAATGTTTATTTCCTTCCTCTAGTCCAAATTATTGATTGGAGTCCTAGTTCCTTTCATTTCACTGTTGTTCCTCTGTATATGTTTCTGTATGTCACTCTGTATAGCCTGTACTTCATCATTTTGCAGCTCTAATCAACCATGTCTGTGAGCATCCAGATTACCAATGGTTTGAATTCTACATGTGATTGGTTGGCTATCTCTTTGGTGCTTAATTTTTTTTAAATATTTTATTTTTAGAGAGTGGGTAGGGAGGGAGAAAGAGAGTAAGAAAAATACCAATATGGGGCTGCCTCTAGTGTGGCCCATACTGAAAACCTGGCTGGCAACCAAGGCATGTGCCCTTACTGGGTTTTGAACCGTCAACTCTTTGGTTCATAGGCTGACACTTCATCCACTGATGCACAGCAGCCAGGCATCTTTTGCTGAAATGTTGCCCTGCTATTTCATTTGGGCTATTATTCTTTGTCTAATTGAACCTCTTATGTTGCAATGGGTGGAGCCATAGGTATTTGTCAGGGCAGGGCAACCCACCTTGCTGTGTTGTGGTGCTGTTTGTGGGGTAGTGTTCAGAGAGGGAATAATCCTGCTTGCTCATCTCTCACCCAGCTTTCAGTCAACTCCCCTGATACCATCAAGGAAATTGCCCTTTCTGGTCATGATTCTGTGGCGAGTGGGCTTGTGTACCTCCTAGGATTCCATGGCACCCCACAACAGGCTCTTCTGTAAGACTGAGAGTTTCTCCTGTGGCTGCACCTCCACAGGTTTTTATAGCCAAAGGGTTTGTGGGTTCAGTTTCACATGCTGGAATCCTGGATTATGCTGTGTTGTTTCCCTGTTGTTCTTCTGGTTTAAGTGCACATGAATGAAATAGCACTCGGTCCACCAAGTGGATCTAAGCTCGCCAGTCCACCAGCCACTGACTCACACAGCTGGTATGCCAGCTGCCACCTTTCAGCCTTTCATCTCCACCCTGACTTAGCATCTGTGACCCTCCTATCAGTTTGGATGAATGTTTCTTCTTTAACTCTTTGATGGTCAGACTTCCATACAGTTCAATCCCTGGCACTTTTGGTGGTTTGTTGTTTTCAAATTGGTTGTTATCCTACTTTTGTTTGTGGAAGGAAGCAAAGCATGTCTACGTATGTCTTCATCTTGACCAGCAGTGACAAACTCACTTTTTACTAATGAATCCACCATTGATGATCCATGTTCCATACTTCTCAATAGCACAAAAGAAAGACACAGAAGTCACACATATTTTGGAGTTGAACAAATGGTATAAAATTTATATTTCTCATGAAGTAAGTACATAGCAGCAACAATTTTATTTAAAAATTTAATAGTTTCTTTTAGAACAAGATTACTCTTGATATTCAAATATTTCCTGAAACATACAGTAAAAGACAGACCTTTAGTTTTACTCAAAACTTAAGCTAGGATTTTCAAAAAAAATTATAGTCAAATACACATAGAGACCTCACAGATGTTCACTGTTTTGTTTGTAACTTAGAATGGTTAAAAGAGTAAAATCTTAAAATAGTAAGCAAAGTATCTCAATAATTAAAATTTTATGCACACAGTCAGACATACTTGTACATATGGAAACTAGGTAGAAATGAAAAGAAGTTGAACATACAATTTTCATATCAGTATAAATGAAGGATATTTTGTGATTTTGTAAATCTGGTGAATCTCTCTGTGAAACATACCCTTTGTGTTTTACAGACACAATAAAGAGAAATACACAAATAATGATAGAAAAAGAATTAGAGCTATGGTTTCTTAGTGTTTTATTTCTCTAAAAACGTCTTTGTATCATGAGTGGAGAAATACATCTTACAAATTTATCTAAATTAAAAATACCTTTATAACATGATTCTTGTAAAATTGCCTGAAAATATGAAAGGTGATAATGTAGAGTCCATGTGTGACATAAGTGTGTAATATAACAAAAATTTACATGAACACGGTCTCACTGATTAAATCCTCCTTGTCAAGTTGCCAATGATGTCTATGGAATAAATGTACAGCCTTCATTTCCCAAAGCAAACAGAAGTTAAAAAGACAACAAAACAGGTCAGATGAAACATAGTTTTTTCACATCCCTCAATAATTCCCTGTTAGATTCTAGTTAATCATAAAATAAAACTATTAACTCTACACTGAATACAGCATCTCAGTCAAGTGACTAGCAGGTGGATTGGATCAATCGATATTTGGTGACGGAGGCACACAGAAGGACAGGTCCTTTTTGTTGTGACAGTAGTGTCAAAATACATAAATAAGAAAGTATTTATGTGAAAGTAATCATAAGTAGACATTCATTTATTCCAATGTCAATTCACCTGTACCTCTCATGTTCAGTACACTAATTGTGTATTTAAATAGCAAGACTTTCTTATCAATTAAGAGACAAATCTATTCTATTGACTCTTGTTTTTCACAACAGTGATTCTCACTGTAAAATCTGCATTTTCTTACCTCTGATGTACAGAGGTTATGCCGAAACCACACGAACTTAAGTGTATATCCCTGGTCCACCAATACCCGAGCCTCTGAGCCCATCCCAGCAAATATATTGCACAGGGCTGCCTTCCAAGTTTGATCTTTTACACAGAAGACGTATTCCATGTTTGGTGGTTACTAATTAAAGGAAGGAATACTTGACCTTGGGGAGCATATATAAAGATAATGGACAGAAGGCCCTGGGACAAAGATTTGAGTTCTGTATACAAACTACAGCCTTTGATAACATAAATAGAGAATGATAGAAGTACAAGAAAACAACCTCGCTATGCAACAACATGACAGAAGACATATGAAGGTTGCTGGTTCTTAATCCCATCATATTAGGAAGAAAGGCAAGCACAGCCTCAGATGCAGGGACAGGGCACATCTTTTACCTGAGAAGCTGCCATATCCTCCTGGTCCTGTTCCTCCTCCTCCTCTGGGTTTTTTTCACAGGAGACCATATGCTGAGGAGTCAAGTTAGCATTGTGAGAATGTGTCTTCAAAGGCACAGCCCTTTCATCTAATCCCACCACAATCACTGGCAGAAGGACCTGGGAATGTTGAAAGATACATCCTCTCATTTCCTTTGTGATGAGGAGGCAAGATAATGAGCAGCTACATGGAGACCACACTAAGTTTGTTTTTCTGTCTTAATGTGCTCTCTACTTCCACAGAGGCCCACCAACTCCTACAACAATAAGAATGGGTGTTTGTGTCATGAACACTACACCCGAGGGAGCCGTCTGTTATCTCCCCTGAACAAAGCCTGCTCTCCACCCTCACACATGCATTGCAGAGTCCTCCTGCAAATCATTGGGTTCACCTGAGCATCTCCTGGGGCTACTCATTCCACAAGGATGACCCACCCAGAGAAGTTTAGTAACTCTGTGAGAGACCTCAGCTGACGTCACTTCTTAGATCTCCTCAGGTGATCTAATAACAATCCAAAAGGGTACAGTTTACCTGTAAAAAGCAAGCAGAATCCTTTGCAATCAAAACCCCACTTGGCGTCCATAATCTGCCTTGCTGCCACTGCACTTGCTTTCACAACTCCTCCAAAACACTCTCTCTATCTCAAGTGCATCTTATTAAACTTTGAAGATATCTGAGGGACTTCAGCACACCTGCACCCTGGGGAGCAATTGGGGTTCCATCACCCGGGAACTGAGAAGTGTACAGATTGGTAGCTCTACTTGACTTTTGATTTAAATGCTGAGGGGTGAGCCAGCTGCCCAGGCACTGTCTCTCTGCAGAAATTTCACAATAGAACGAAGGAGAAACCTCAGGTAGAAGGGCCTCAGACTTCCCTGGAAAACTGGCCCTCCACCCCACAGCCAATCACTCAGGGTGTGGGGATATCTCACTTGTATTCTAGACTCAACGTTGCATTAGGCGTGGCAGCCAGTATTTCACCAAAGTAGCGACCCTCGAGCTTCCCATGCACAGGAATGCGAACTCAGAGGATCAGTAATAACCGGAAACACCAGACAGATGAAAATTCGAGCCGCTTTCTTGGCTTTATTACTACTTCCGGGAGACTCAGAAAGTGCACATGCGTCATTTATGAAAGCTCACTTGGCCCTGGCTGGTGTGGCTTGGTGGATTGAGTGCCAGCCCACAAACCAAAGCATATAGGTTGGTTTCCTACTCAGTGCACATGCCTGGGTTGCAGGCCAGTTCCCAGTGGGGGATGCATGAGAGGTGCCCATACATTGATGTTTCTCTCCCTCTCTCCTTCCCTTCCTCTCTAAAGATAAATAAATTAAAATCTTAAAAACAAAACAAAACAGAGGTGGGTGAAAGTCTGAGGAGAGGACTTCCAGGGATGGTGAATCCGGCGATGGGCGGCATCTGAATACAGGCCTGTGCATGGTGGAGACTGGTATGGCAGAGCTGAGAAGAGGTGGCTGGGTGGGGGCCAGGGCTCCCCTCTACATGAGTCTCCTTGGTTATATGCTTTCTGTGACCACTCCTGTTTACTTCGAGACCATTTTGTTCCGCTTCTATGTAATTAGAAAACTTGTGAGATTTTCATCAAAAATGAAGATTATGATACTCCCGTAAACTTTAGATGACTCTTTGACACACTATATTTTTAATCTTTTTCTTACATTTATATTTACTATATTGTAGTACAGTCTGGCTCTCATTTTAATATATTACCAAAGCCGTTAATGCCCTGCTGGTGTCCCAGAATATTGGTGGGTGTGGTGGAAAATCCCACAATTTGGTGACCAGGAGTGTCAGATTATAGTGTGATGGTGAGGGTCAAATTAGTCTGACTAAAGAAGTCAAAGAGGATGGAAAACACACTAGAAAACCTTCTCTCCAACAGAATAGGAAAACTGCATTGTTTCTTCATAACAATACTCTGTCTACACACTCTGTGTGTAATCTGTGTTTATTAGAAGCTTTAAATATGTACATTGTACTATATATAGCAAGACACAACATTTTGTGGCCCCTCTCCCAGCAATTCTGGATGAATTTTACATGAATTCCAGTGGAACAGATAGTTTTTAAAATAGATCTACCTACCATGATTATGCTTACAAATGAATATAAACTTCTAATGAGACTCCTCTGATTCAAAGCACTTTGTAGAGTACTCCTCACAAAACATGTTCTGAGAAAACACAGCACTAACAACTCAATATTTTCCCATTCAGTAGAAAAAGTAGGTAACCCTAGGACTCTGGCCCACAACAAGTGGACAGTTTTGCTGGGTAGAATATAGTTCAAGAATCTATTTCTGGAAGCCACAGGGAGGAATGATCCTTTCCTTGACTTCAGTTGTCCTGAGAGTAAATATCTAGCCTTTCTATTCCCTTTTCCTGATTGTTCCTGCTCACTTTTAGTAGAAAGTATACCTTCCTCCTGAAATAAACACCTTCCTTCTACTTTATTTAATCAGGATACAGTGAGTTTTATGATACAACTTTGTGCAAGTGTAAACAATACAACAGTGTATATATTTCAAAATAGCATTTTGTGTGGAACGTGAGCACTCCCTTTTCAACTACATATACCCACCATTTCTAGCAATACATGTCTGGCTTGTGAGGTTTATTTAGGGCCCTTGTGCTTCTCAATCTTTCCTAGATAAAGAAATATAGTTTCTCATCCCTAGTACATTTTGTGTGTAATAAGGAATTCATCAGAGTCATTTAAGTTAACTAGACGTTTTTTTTCAAAGGGCCTGAGGGCCAAGTCCTCCATTTAGTGTGCCAGGGTTTTCACTTTTAACTTTAAGAGCACCCTCAAATTATTTCCTAATGTTCAATATAGGACTCAGGGATGAGGCACAGTCACACTCTTGAAGTCCTGCCTGCAAATGAGTTCCTTCATTTTTGAAGTCAGGACTGTTGAAATAGGTTGTTAATACAGTGGAAAAATTAAAATAACGTGTAAAAGAAAAAGCTTTTGTGTGTGATGGGAACAAGTTATACATGGAGGAGACTGGGTGGCAGTCATCTGGTAACAGCACTGCAAACCTCACTTTCTCTGTTAAATGGGCTTCCTCTGAATGTGAATAGCAGTCAGGAAGAAATGGCCCAATAGCCTGCAGACATTTAACAATGGAGCTTTGCTCTTTGTTTAAAAACCCACCACAAATTTTGGGATCTGTTCTCTTCATCACTCTATTTACTTTTACTTTATTGTGTGCTGCTTGATCTCCACACACTTGACTCCCAGACACCTGATCACAGTCAAGTCACACATAAATACACTTCGCGTGACAACCTGTAACATTCCAGTTCATTGAGTGAATCAAGGATAGATGAATTGAGTGAAGTCACTGGATGTTTTTCCACTTCTTCCACTATTTTGACTCCAAGTGCAAATTAATACTAAAATGGTTTGGGTGGGAATGTATGAGATTTCTAATTTATTAAACACAGTATAGGTTCCCGTTGTCTACTGGTAACCAGAATCCTTTTTGTGAGTGCTCCAAGCTCAAAATAAATATTTCATCTTTTCTATTTTGCTAAGTGAAAATAAGCCCAGCAGGGAAAGACAAATATCATTTGATTTCATCTACAGGAGGAACCTAACAAGCAAAACAAACAAGCAAAATTGAAACAGAGGCATGGGAACAAAGAAAAGACTGACAGCAAACCAAGGAGACAGGGAAGGGAATATGGGTAAAAAGAAGGGGGAAGCAACTAGTGAAGGAACATGTATGAGAGATTCAAGGACATGGAAATAAGGTGGGGATTGAGTGTTGGAGTCGGGGAGGGGGCCAGTGCAGTAAATCAATGAGGGGAATACTGGACAAGTGTAATAGAACAACAATAAATGTTCAATAAAATAAAAATAGGTGGAACAACAAATAATGTTTCCCTTTCTATCTCTGTCCCTTCCTATATCTATAAAAAGCAATGAATCAATAAAAATTAATACAAATAAAACTAAAATTGTCTTGGTAAAATAAACATTATCTATGCAGGGCTAGAAGTCATGGTTAAATTTTAACACTAAATCAGGAAATATAAGCTATATTACAAATAAAAGGTTGAGAAATTAGGACAGAACTTCAGTGTGAATCATACACTTTCAAATACTACTCCAGTTGTTCTTATCATTCTGACTGGCAACTGCTATATTCAGAATTTCTCAGACACATTTATATGTGTCTTGAAAATACAAGATTTCTATTTACCTAAGAAAGGCACCATTTACTACTTCCATTTACTTAAGAATAGCACCATTTCTTCTGTGTTGCATCTGTCATATTCTCTCTCAATAATAACATCAATCTTCCTATGAAAACCCCAGTACTGCCTCTCATGGTCCATTAGTAGAGCATACTTTCTGGAAACCTGAAGTAGTCTTTCTCGAGATGGGCACCCTAAATCTAATAAGTATAAAATTTTACAGTTTTACATAATTCCCTGTCTTCTCTGATGCTTATGTACACCATTAGGAATTTCACACTGAGTGTCGGTGTTTTCCAGTAGCAATGGATATGAGTGAACCCTACCTAGAGAAGTAGGAGCTTTCTCTGTATTGACACCTCCCCAAGAGCATCATCACAGGCCTTTAAGACATTCCTATGATAAATACTGAACTTTTGTTTAAAATTCATAAAGAGTAATGTAGTCTTTCTAAAAATTCAGGTGACTGCTATAAACATTAAAGATAATAAACAATTAGAATACACTCTTGTTCCTGTGATATACAAAATAAGCTGATTAACATAGTTTGCCTTGTAATTTCTCTGTGCTATGTAAGGTCCTGTGTTAAACTCAGAAAAGACACAATTAATTCTAATATGGATTCTAAAATGTGAGGTCATTGATGGAAATAGGGTAGAAAAAGAACTATAATAATTACATTTATAAACATTCTTCTTATTATAAAATTTTTTGGAAAACCTGGAAGGCACACTGTCCCTTAGATGTAGTTGCACATTCCCTGTGTTTTTATGCTTTCAGTTCAGCATAAATTTTGTCATTACCTCAAGGCATAGGCAGTTGGTGAAAAATCTAATGACATTCACAACATTTGTAAAATTGCATTTCCATATGTCGGGTTTTTATTGTCAGGTGAAAGCATTTCTCTCAAAGATGTACATTCTGATGTCTAGGGAATTGTGAGAGGGGAAAATGGGTGTAACACATACATTTACATAATTTCCTTCACTGTGGCCTTTCCATTATTGCATGGTACTGAACTCAAAGTAATGGCTTTGACACACTTGATACAGAGACAACTCATCAGATCACTGAGAGAAGTAGGAGGGACCATAGGAAAAGTTAACCAAGTCGATGGGAATGGCTGAGAAGCCCAATGCCTCCAGAACTCATGGAAAGAAAAAGAGGGCTGGCTCTCTAGCTTCTGAACCCTCTGGTTTCTGGGTCAGTTTTCTCTGGCTCTTGGGCTCTTCTTCTTCAGAGATGCCTGGGTGACCTGTCTGCAGCGGCCTGTGTTTCCCAACAGATGGTATTTTGTATGAAAAGAAATATTGGGCAAAACCTAGAATCAGGTTGGCCAGGGAGAGGGTGAGGGGTTTATCATTGGGTGTTCTAGAGGGAACAGTCTGTGAGGCAGAAGACTGCCAGTCTCCCAAAATTTTTTGGCTTTTGTATCTTACATTGCTTTAGTTTGTAAACTACTAACCTCATACAAATAAAAAACTATGGTTGTGACAACTAAGGTTGTGACAGTTCAAGGTTCCAAGTTATAGAAAATAAATGCCACCACAGCAATATCATAAAGCAGCTTAACTGAAGTCTTCAAAAAACACATGTCATCTATTGTAACTACCAGAATGTTCCATTAGGTACAATAAAAGTATATCAATAAGGGGGAATTTTCACATTTTTTCAATGTCTAAGGACACCAAGGAAAGAAACTGCTAGGGAACTTCACTGCATTATGAAATGACACATTGTTATCTATAAACCTGAGGAACATTAAAGACACACAAATCTTCCAGTATATCCACCTTTATTCATAAAAAGTATAAATTCACACATCATCTACATAAAAAATCACAATACAATTGTGTTACCATTTCTCGACACAATCATTGCACACATTTGGGAGTGTTACTATTCTTGTATATTATGATCCCAGAGTGCAGTTTTCTTTGTTTTTCTAACTGGAGGCTAACTGTTGAGCAAATGTGGATGTACAACATTGTTATGCACTGAGGGATGAGCTGTCTATATGCCCTCACATATTGCTGATGGCTTTTCATTCCAACCACATCAACTAATATTCAACTATGACTACCCTGAAGACACATCAGGATTTTAACAAATTGGCAGTTTCTTTAAAGGGAGGTTTAGAAAACAGTTACAATTTATACTATTTCTATGTCTTACTATAATGCAAAATAGCATGACTTCCATTATAACATACACCAAATTCAGAGTAACCTAAAAACAGCAACCTCAGTTAGATTTTTTCATGCATTGTGCATTACAGTGCCAATCTCTATGCAAATGTAAATATGAGTAAACCTCACCTAATATACAACAGTTCACAAGTTGTTAAGGAACCAACCATTAACTCATTGATTTTATACACACCAGAAATGAAAACATAGTAGCACCAACTGATGGGAGACTGGATTCAATTTAATATTTGCTTCTCAAAATATTTCAACTTGTCAATACACAATAGTTTATATGCTGAGTGATTATACATATCTAGACATCCATCCCCTCAACATTTTGAAGCACACTGAAAAGTAATGATTGGTATCTTTAAACTTTATGTGATTCTCTATAGTAATATTCTGATTTATTGCAATACCTGAAACCTATCATTAACTCTCTACTCTGAATTATGATATTTTGAGCCTGGTTTTCAATGACATATTTTCCTAAATTTTTACACCTTTCCAGCCACTTTTAGGTATAAATTCTCTGGGGTTATGGGAACTGTGTAATTTCTCAAAAGACTATCACTCTTTATGGATATAGAATTCCACCCCACTGTGCATTTCCCTGATGCATAATGAGACTGTAGGTCAACCTTAATGATTTTCTACAATTTCCCTTTAAATTTTTTATAGTGTGAATTCTCATATGCCACAAAAGAAGTCAATGTTAAAAAAAAGCCTTAAAGTGTTGGGTATATTTTGAATATAGGTTAAAATATTGCCACAGTCTCTATATTTACACAGTTTTTCTAAAGATGGATGTCTCTCATATTGGTTAAGGGAGCTCTGATGACTAAACACTTGTTATGTACACTACTTTTATATGGATGACCTGTAAAGTCTCTCTCCTCTATGCACAACCTGTTAAAACGTGTTGCCACCTACTGCACATTTATAAGCCTTGTGTCCAGTATGAATTCTCTGAAGTTTACTAAGGGTTGGAAGTGGCTAAAGGCTTTATCCCACCAGATACATTTAAAAGGCTTTGGTATAGTATAAATATATTTTAGGAAAAATGAGCATTGAGGACTATCTAATGCTTTTACCAAATAAGGTACATGTACAAGGCATTCCTTCTGTGTGAATTGATGGATGCTGAGTAAGGTTTGAGGACTGTAAAAATGTTTTATCACATGCTCAACACTTAAAAGGTTTCTCTCCTGTATGAAGTTACTAATGCCATGAAAGGTCACAGGACAGGATAAAGGCATTACCACATATGTTAAATATATAAGGCTTCTCTCCAGTATGACTTTTCTGATGTCGGGTAAGGGCTGAGCTCCACCTAAAGGCTTTCCCACATTGTGTACATTTATAAGGCTTGTCTCCAGCATGAATTTTCTGATGTTCAGTAAGGTTTGAGTTGAAGTTAAAGGTTTTGGCACATTGTGTACATTATGAATTCTTCTCTCCACTATGAATTTTCTGATGTTGTATAAGGTTTGTGGTCCACCTAAAGGCTTTGCCACATTGTGTACATTCATAAGGCTTCTCTCCAGTATGATTTTTCTGATGTTGTATAAGAGTTGAATTCCGGGAATAGGCTTTTCCACATTGTGTACATTCATAAGGCTTCTCTCCAGTATGAATTTTCTGATGTCGAGTAAGGTTTGACTGCTGCCTAAAGGCTTTCCCACATTGTGTACATTCATAAGGCTTCTCTCCAGTATGAATTTTCTGATGTTAGTAAGTGTTGACTGCTGCCTAAAGGCTTTCCCACATTGTGTACATTCATAAGGCTTCTCTCCAGTATGAATTTTCTGATGTTGAGTAAGGTTTGAGTGCTGCCTAAAGGCTGTGCCACATTGTGTACATTCATAAGGCTTCTCTCCAGTATGAATTTTCTGATGTTTAGTAAGTTTTGACTGCTGCCTAAAGGGTTTTCCACATTGTGTACATTCATAAGGCTTGTCTCCTCTATGAATTCTCTGATTATCATTAACATTTGAGTACTGGCTAAAGGCTTCATTATCACATTCTATACATTTATCAGGGTTTTGTCCCATGTGAACTGTGTGATGATTAGAGAGGGTTGATTTAATAAAAAATAACTTGCCACATTCTTTACAAATTTCATGCTTCTGTGTAGGATAAATGTTTTTATGTAGATTTACACCTGGGAACCAGTGACCTGTTTTACCACAGTCTTCACATTTATCTTGTTTGCTCACACCTCTTTTGTTTACGTTATTTAGATTCGATATTTGATTGAAGAATTTCCCGCATGGAAAATATTTGCAATCTTCCCCCCTGAGATCAATATTTGTTTCTTCAGTGCTATTTGAAGATTGCTTTAAGCATTTGATATTTTTTCTTTGCTTGTTTGTCTTCCCGTCTATAGAAAAAATCTGATGAGTATTGTGATTTAATATTTGGTCAAAGACTTTTCCAGTTTCATAATTGCTGTCTGGAAGCTGACTCTCTGGCTGGACATTAGAATTTGATTCATAGGTAAAATTCTCCCAGTGTTCATTGCATTGACTACTTCTGCCCTCATCACACACACCCTGGTAAACATTGAACACAGAAAGGCCTTTAGTGACATCTATAATTTCACTAAGCATGTGCACTTATTCCTAAATACCCATTCTGTGAGCCCTATAAAACCACATTGGTTGTATTACATATCATGCTCAATTTTAAGAAAATATTATACAGCAGAATAAAGAAATTATATTTCTATAAAAGTAAAGCATTTCCTGAAGAAAGGGAATGTCAAATTGATCACATTTAAGCTTTCTACATGTATCTAAAGACTACATTGTAGAAATTATTGACTGAAAAGTTATTTCCACTCCACATTTTAAACAACTCATATGAATACCCACACCACAAATTATGAGATTTCCTAGAATTTCCAGACTGTTTATAGAACAGGGGTGTGAAACTCCTTATCACCACAGTCAACATCAGCATCATTTTGGCCTTCAGTGAGCTGTATGTAATTTTAGGACCATGTAAATGTTACTACTCCTGATCTAGGGGTGAGGAGTTTGGCGCTGCATCCAGGTAGGAACAGCTTCTGAGTTGGATAAATGAACATTGAGGGTCAGAGTTGCCCTAGAGTTCTTGTGTTTGACACCTATGCCTTAGAGAATATGTACACTTAGAGTATTATTTTCAGTCTTTCAAATTGGAAATACATTGGTCTGTAAAAGTAACTGATTTAAAATGGAAGTTTCCCCAAATTTGTCATATTGTTCACATCTTTAGATAACAACAATTTTTAATGAAAAATTTTAAGTTAGTTTTCTCCATTCAAACATCTTTCTTTCTTGACATAAATTTCCTTATCAGTATCAAAGGCATAACTCTCATATCTTACCAGTGTTTCTTCAAAAAATAGATCTTCTATTCCTGATGCTTCCAAGAAGTACTGGTTGTCTGCAGATGACACAGCTGAAAAAAACACAAAAGAAAGGTTCATAGGTATGACACACATGTGAGTGTATGTTGACCTGAGAAGGAATTTTTAAACAAATGCTATTGTTAAGTACTTCAAAAAGATACTAAATACTTGGAGTAAAAGTCATCCAAATAATGAATAATGGGGGCTTCCACTTGTAAACCACTGTGCTCCTTTGCCTTGGGAAACAATGGAAATAGAATAAAGAAACTCCACATTCCCATTGTTTTCTAGACAGACAGAGGGTCAAGTGTATTCAATGATCTCACTGTTTTCCTGCATCTTCAAAATACGTGTTTCTGTTTTGCAAGACACGCAGTGCTCAGGCCATAATAGCACATGGTGAACACATTACAGTGCACACTTTTAAAAAATGGGTAACAGTTGAAATAACACAGACCAGAGGACTGAAGATCAATATCAAGCATAAAAGTATATCATGGGCTATGAAAAAACCAGACATTATATAATACTTGCAACCCCCAAATACTCAGAAACAAACATCCCCCCTGTTTTTACAGCAGTTAGAGATTAAACTAGGGATGAATGTTGTTTCTTTGTCTCTTAACCTGGAGAAAGCAAGTTCATGAAGCCTAGAGGTTTACAGTTTAGAACCTCAAAAAATGTATCAAGACAGAAAACGAAAAACAAAGGTTAAATCAGAAAACTGAAGTCCATCTGCAAAAACTAGCCCCGGCTGGTGTGACTCAGTGGATGGGGCTCTGGTCTGTAAACCAAAGAGTTGCTCATTTTATTCCCAGTCAGGGCACATGCCTGGGTTGCCATCCAGGTCAGGTCCTCACTAGGGGATGTGGAGGAGGAAACTACACATTGATTTTCTACTCCCTCCCTGTCCCTTTGTCTGAAATAAATTAAAAAAATGTGCATCTACAAGAACTGCCACTACTTATATTGAAATATTTTAGTTTTTGTATAAAGAACGGAAAATACCCACCTGAAAATAGAAACATAAGAAAATATGACATCTACTTAATAGCACTGAATCTGTGAATGACTGAAATAAAATTAGAAGAAAGAAAATTTAAAAATAAGCCAAACAGAGGATGGGAAGATGAAAAATAAAATACTCAAACTTAAAAATACGTTAAAATGAAGAAATATCAAGTGGTTGCCTGTTTATGTCCACATCCAGGTCTGAGGCCCACAATCCAGGCATGTTTCTTTTCTCAGAAGCACACTGGTGACCTTGGTTTTCAGGTATGATGTCCAACAAACTGAGCCACTCTAATAGCTCTTAATTCACTAAATGAACTTATTACATGATACTGTGGATTTTATATAAAAATATTAAAAAATAATATTTTATATGAAATGTGTCATTGGTACTTGAAGGTATTGCATTGAATCTGTAAATTTCAAATGCATTTTTGTATAGCAACAGTAAATCAGTAGAAGCAGAAATCAAGAAAAGAATCCCATTGTATATAGCCAAAAATAAAATAAAATAACTAGGGGTAAACCTAAGCAATGAGGTAAAAGAGCTGCATGCAGAAAACTTAAAAACATTGAACAAAGAAACTGAGGAAGAAACAAGCAAATGGTAACACAGACCGTGTTCATTGATTGGAGGAATTAACATAATCAAAATGTACAGATTACCAAAGCAATTTACAGATTCAATGCAATATCTATTAAAGTACCAATGATATATTTCACAGACATAAAACAAACACCTCAAACATTTATATGGTGCCATTAACAACCCCAAATAGCAACTGCAATTTTGAGAAAGAAGAGCAAAGGAGGAGGGATCACAATATCTGTTACCAAACTGTATTGCAAGGCCACTGTAAAGAAAACAGCCTGGTACTGGAATAAAAACAGGCATATAAACCAATGGAACAGAACAGAGAGCCCAGAAATAAACCCAAAGCTCTATGGGCAATTAATACTTGACAAACGGGCAGCAATATAAAATGGATTAAAAATGGCCTCCTCAACAAACGGTGTTGGGAGAATTGGAAAGCTACATCTAAAACAATGAAATTCAACCACCACTTACACCATACACCAAAATAAATTCAACGTGGATAAAAGTTTTAAATATAAGCCATTATACCATTAAAGTCCTAAAGGAGAACACAGGCAGGAAAATCTCAGATATTTCATGCAGCAACATTTTTATTGATATGTCTGTAGAGGAAGGGACATAAAGGAAATAATAAACAAATGGGATCTCATCAAAATAAAAAGCTTCTGAATGGCTAAAGAAGACAGTATTAAGATAAAAAGAGAAAGAACTGTATAGGAAAACATATTTGCCAATGATACTTCAGACAAGGGTTTAATCTCCAAAATATACAGAGAATTCACACAATTCCACTCTACGAAGACAAGCAACCCAATAAAAAACTGGGCAAGAAAGTTGAACAGACACTTTTCCAAGAGGGCATACATAGGATTCAGAGACAGATGAAAAGATGGTGGGTACTGCTAGCTATCAGCAAGATGCAAATTCAAACCACAATGAGATACCACTTAAACTGGTCAGAATGGCTATCATAAACAAAGCAACAAACAACAAATGTTGGAGAGGTTGTGGAGAAAAAAGCACCTTAGTTTACTGTTGGTGGAATTGCAGACTGGGACAACCACTATAGAAAACAGTATGACATTTTCTAAGAAAAGTAGAAATGGATCTGCCTTTTGACCCAGAAATTCCACTGCTAGGATTTTATTCTAAGAACTCAGAAACACCAATCCAAAAGAACCAATGCACCCCAATGTTCATAGCAGGACAATTTACAATGTCCAAGTGCTGGAAGTAACAGAGATGCCCATCAACAAATGAATATATCCAAAACTATGGTACATGTACACAATAAAATTCTATGCAGCAGAAAAAAAGGAGCTCCTACCCCTTGCAATAGCATGGATGGAACCAGAAAGCATTATGCTAAATTAAATAAGCCAGGCAGTGAAAGACAAATACCATATGATCTCACCTTTAACAAGAACCTAGAGGGCAAAACAAACAAGCAGGCAAAATATAATCAAGCCACTGAAATAGAGAGCAGGCTGAAAGGAACCAGAGGAGACAGGGGAGTGAATTTCAGGGGAAAAGGGAAATGATTTACAAAAACAAGTATAAAAGACCCATGGACATTATCTAAGGGGGGTGGAATGGGGGTGAAAGGTGGAGAGCACTGGGGGGGGGGGGCTGGGATGGGAGTAAAAGATAAAAAACTGTACTTGTACACAATTAAAATAAATTAAAATTTAAAAAGTTTGTGTCTAAAATAGCTCTATATCTTATGTCTTTACAAAATAGACATTAAAGAAATAATAAAGAATATACATATTCAAGCCACATGAAACCTCTATTGGAAAGGTCAGAATCCAAACACTTCTCTTTGAGAAGAGCCAATGCTGCTGCTGTTTTGAAGCAAATGGAACTCCCTTTCCTTGTTGATGAAAATGCAAACTGCTAGTCACTTGGGAAGAGTGTGGACATTCTCACACTCCTAACATACACTTATTATATAAGCCACAAAGTGTGCTATAGTATCCAACCAAAGAGCTAAAAATTTTATCTGCACAAAAGCCTACAAGAAACCATTTTGAGAAGCTTCATTCATA